GATTTGAGGGGTTGGAGCAGAGATGAAGAGACCCTTCTGCTATTAGCTGACGAGAAAGAAGAAGGTGAACCCCTGGTTACAGAGAAGGTTTTATCTCGACCGTGGAACTTTGACGAACTAAACCCATTTGTCAGCAATGTTTGGACACCCTTGCAGTTGAGTTTGAGACGGCAAGAGATTTTAAACCCAATACCAAAAGAGGTTACAGTTCATGTTGAAACGTTAATAAATGAGGACAATGTTGTTGACTTTAAACCGTCTCATACTTTATTGAGTGTGACAGAAGCCCCTAATATCGAACCCTCACGCAAATGCAACAAATAAATACCTAAATAATAAAATGCATCAAGTATGATGTTAAATGCAAAGACACATTTAACAGCACTTCTAATCTGGCCCTTAGGATTCACAGAGCTTCGCAGTCCTTGTGCAAGACTAGTTACCAAGAATATCCAAGATCTGATCCTTGTCAATAAATAAGCAGAGAGAATACAAAAAGCTTATCCCCTCTAGGGATACAATTTATGCAAATAATGGCAGACTCCATAAATACAAATCCTATAAATCAGAATATGATTTCAACATCCAGCCTTATCCTATGTTAGATTTGGCTGCACACGTCAGACTAGAATCCTTTGGAAACTGAGCAATATGTCTCTGTGTGAGCATGTGTCCATATGCACTCCTCAGCCAGAGACAAATAGCAGGAAACACGAAACTGTGCAAGAGGAATGATCTCCCCTCCTAAGACATACTGGGGAATTTCCTAAGGATCAATCACAGCCAGACTGAGGTGAAATGACCTTACAAAGGCCACAGTAAACCAAGTAGCAGAGCTATTCAGTATAACTTGGTTAATCCTCAGTTTCCCATCTCAGTCATGATTGGATGAAGAGGGGCAGGGGTGTCTACTTCCTCCAGGGAGGCAGCGAAAATTAACTCCATTTTCATTCACAGTTGGGTTTTACGACAGCATTTAAAATCAACAGTGACATCCCTGGACCTTCTGTTCTTTCCTCTGCTCCACGTTGCCTCAGGCTTCTGCCCCTAACTTTCCATTTGTTTCTCTACACTCCTTTTTTTTGCCAAGCTGTGGGAAGCAAACCAGAATTTGGCTACAGCTGGCTCTTGACTCCCTAATCTAAACAAATGGAAACAATCTGTTCACTCTGGAGTCGAGTGCTAGGCGTTCTCTAGCTTTTCCTCAAATAACTTTGAGAGAGAGAATGATCCAGCAAAGATGCTGATGCTGCTATTTTACCCTCAGTGGGAAGCAAAATTGATTTTCCATACCCCTACATTCCCCATCTCTGCCTCAGCTGGGAAAAGGCCGATGAAACCTTCTTGGAAAGGTCGGAGAGAGAAAAAATAGACAATATCTGGGTAAGGCTGTCAACTAACCAAAATTATTCTCTTTATTAACTGCCAGGACAGTGGGGTGCAAAGCTAATTTAAAAGAAAAAATGTACACTAAACAACCATGAAAACACTCAAGAATATAAACATCAGCTGACACAGTACATGCCTGCATGCTTAAACTAGGCATGGTTTATGACATGCTGAGATCCTAAGTGCTGTCAAATTTAACAAGCCCCACAACAGAGAGAGAGAGAGAGAGAAATAGAGCTTACTTAGGTTGTCTGTAAATCCAGTACTTTGGGTGGCACTTCAGATGTTCCCTCTCTAATTGCTGAGCTGGCTAATGGGAGCTATATTCCAGCAACACTTGGAGGGCAACGCTTGCCAGCTCCTTCTCCAAAATATATCAAAGCGCCAGTGGCCTAAAACATTTTGATGCCTGAGGCACAACTACAAAATGTACTATCACCCTCATGCCAAAATGTGTAGTATTTCAGCCAAAAAAGTTTAACATTCAAATTATTTTAATACTTAAGGAGAGGAAAACCTTACAAGCTGTTCAGTAAAAAAATATAACAATGCATTACATTGTTTATTATGTGCAAGACTTGCATATTACTTCCATACTGCAAATGAATTGCTCCTATACAAACAAGACAGCTGAAAACTTTAGTGAGTGTGAACCAGTCTCATACTTGCCCTATTAGTCTTTAACAGTGTTGCCATTCTTTTTTAAATACTATCCTTTTGCTAAATAAACATTTAAGTTTTAAAAGGATTTCCTCAATGCCTACTAACAGAAATGCTATAATAATAATGAAAAGAGTAAGGAAAGTTCAGCAATGGCATACCATTGCCAACGTCTGTACAGCACTAACAAAAGATAGCTTGAGTGTCCTCTACTGTTGCCTGTGAAAGATGCTTCACCGGTGTCACCTTCAACTATCACTCTTGCCCAGTTGCTGCTATCCCCATCACCACTGGGATATCCATTCTCTTCTGCTGATGCAGCTATTGTCACTGGACAGACACAGTTTGGTGCCTGGGCTGTGAACATTCCATCTTGGGTGGCCCTGCTAGGAGTCCAGGCTCATTATGGAATCTTGCCTCTTGATGGAAATTAGGAAATAGGTGTGCTCAGCACTTGATTTTCCTGATGTGTAACCTGTATTGTGAACAAGAAACAACTGTTAGGACAGAATATGGAGACACAGAATGGCTTCCTATAGGCAAAGGTGTCAGACAAGGGTGCATTTTATCTCATATGTTCAATCTGTGAACATTAAGAAAACAAAAATAATGACTAGAGAAGAACTGCACAACCTTAATGTTAACAATGAAGAAACTGAATTTGTTTAAAATTTTGTACATCTTGGATCAATTGCCAATCCAAGAAATCAGAAGAAAACTGAGACTAGGAAAAGCAGCAATGATGGAATTCAAAAACATCTTTAAGTAAGGATGTGTCACTGGAGACCAATGCCAAGATAATCCATACTATTGTATTCCTAATTACTATGTATGAGTGTGAAAACTGGACAGTAAAGAAAGCTGAGAGAGGAAAAAAATGATTCATTTGAAATATGGTGTTGAAAGAGAGCTTTGCAGATACCCTGGACAGCCAGAAAGATGAACAAGTGGGTCCCAGAACAAATCAAGCCTGAACTATCTTTGGAGGCTAAAATAATGAACCTGAGGTTACTTTAGGCACATTATGAGAAGGAAAGGTTCCCTTGAGAAGACAATAATGCTGGGGAAAGTTGAAGGTAGCCGGAAAAGAAGAAGATCAAATACGAGATGGATTGACTTCCTAAAGGAATCACAGCCCTGAATTTACAAGAGCTGAGCATGGCTGTTGAGGACAGGACATTTTGGAGAGTGCTCATTTGTAGAGTCACCATAAATAGGAGCCAACTTGAAAACAATTAAAAAGAGGGGGAAAGGGAAGAAAAAGTGCTAACCAATGATGCAGCTGAAAGAAATAACAAAAAGAAGCTGGAAAAAAATAAAGGAAAAGAAAAAAATGACAAAGACAAAATACTCTGGCACTTTATAAAGACTAAGAAGTTTGTTTCGATTTCCAAAGAAATAAACATGTCATGGTAAACTTAAAGATGAAGGAAGAAAAGGGGCAAAATACTGTGGCACTTTTAAGATTAACAAATTTATTTCAGTGTGAGGATTTCGTTGATCAAAATCCTCTTCCTTCAGAAATAAGTCCTGAAATACTGCAAATATGATGCCATCTGATATTTATCCTTGTCCCCTAGAAACAGCCAGTTCTGTACTGACTCGTTCCCTTCACTGGGGCCAGTGGAGTCCTTTTAGGAAGGCTGGTAGAGGCAGCTGACAATGAGCAGTGGTTGCTCCCTTGCTCCCTGAGGAGCCTCCTTTTCCTTTTGTATTGGCATTTTTGCTGACGGTGCCTCAGCTGCATTGGAATGGGTGACACAGTATCTGTTGGTTATATCAGACACGAAGGGGCTGGTGGGCCTGGAGCCTTCTCTGGAGCTGATATGACAAAGGACCCTCTTCCCTGGCCTTGGGCTCTTGCCTCAGGATGACTATCCAGTAACTCCTGCCAAGAGGCTATCCTTCAAGTCCCATGCCACCTCAGGGTCCACACCTTCCACTGCTGATCTCCAGGGCTTCTTCTCCACCACTGACCTCTTGCCAAGAGTTGAGGACCATAATCCCAGACTTCATAAAAGCCCAAAGCAGCACATGGCATGAAAATGAATCACTGGGATGTTCAGGAGGAATAGGCAGTGGACAACGTCTGATGCTACGCTGTGCACAATGTCAAATGCAGTTGTCTCCGTCTGCCTAATGATAGGGCCAGCTCAGTCTTGTTTCAAAATTTATCAATCTTCAGCAGGAAATAACTGACACCACAAGAGAGAAGATAAATAAACATTGGCTATACAGTATTGCTTTCTATCAAGGAAGACAAGCCCACTAGACCAAAATAGAAACCTGGTACCTCACCCTTCTACTATTTTCCCCTTCCTCCCTAATTCACATTTCCACATGCCACTGGATTATGTTTCCCATTATCTCAGTTACTGCCCATGCTGACCCATGCTGCCTGAAGAGGATGGGAAAATGAGTTCAACCTATAAGAAACCAAGGGGAAGGGAATGGAGCTGGTACTACTCTACCAGCTGTTAGCATATGTTGCTACTTAGATTTAGCAGTTAATTTCAACATTCTCTTCTTGTTTTTAATCATTCTGTTTATTGTTGTGTTATGTTACGGTTTTCAATCTAATTCTACGCCACCTGGTAAGGGTTTATACTAACTAACAAACAGAAACATTTGGGGAAAGTCTGCATTAAGCCAAGCTCTTTGTCACGCTTCAGTCATCTCTCTCTCTCATGTATGACCACCATGTGCCGTCAATACTGTACTAACTTGATCAATTTTCTAGGTATAAAGTAGTCCAACTTTCTATACAAAAAGTATTCAGAGAAGTGGTTTATATAGTACAGAAGTGTTACTGCTCCCACATTGTGCAGTTTGCCCAAAGCCACACAAAGGGACAGGACACACAACTCCATCAGTTACACATGCCTTGGCTGATCTCAACCGGTCTCTCTCTCTCCCTGCTAGACTAGAGTCATACAGGGTTGGCAGAACACAAACCTGGGCCTGCAATGATACAGTACAGTATAAGTTCCTTTGCTTGAGAGCAAGGCTGGCTCTATCTTTAGGCAGAGTGATGCGACCCTTTCAAGGGACATGTGCTGCAAGCATCAGCAGCAGCCCCCAACCCTTTCTATTGAAGTCTCTTCTCAGCCATTCCCCTCCCGGCCTTAGGACGGCCCAATGAAATAGAGCAACTTTTTTGGCTGCGTGGAAAACAGCCTGCGTGAAACTTCTTATAGACAACTATGAACGTGACAAGAGGCCTCGTCCTTCTTTTCTTGGGGCCCTCCTACTGCTGTGATACGGGAGTCTTCCCCATTGGCAGTACTGAAACCCGAATCGACAACACTGTCCACTTGACTTCTCCAGGCACAATACAAAAGGGCGCCATTTTGTCCTCTTGTCTCAGGCAACAAAATGCCTCGGGACGGTCCTGTAGGAATCTTAATCTCCAGGAGACCCGACCCCTCCACCCACCCACGGCCTCGAAGTCGCCCTCCCTTTGGCTTTCCCCTCAGCCCCCAAATGCGAGGAAACAGCGGACGTGAGGGGCCACGGAGTAAGGTCGGACCGCAGATGGAGGTCCCAAAAGGCAGGCAAGCGGGACGGCTCTCTCCCGCTCCTTTGGCAGAGGAAAGAGTTAAGGCGGCAGAAACCTAACACTCGCGCCCGAAGCCCGAGCCCAGAGAAAAAGGGGAAGGGACGGGAGCTCCTCGAGCGGGCTCCGCACCAAAGCCGGCGGTTTCAGGCGCCTTTGCCAGCAACAAGCCGCGGAAGACATGGGATTCCAGGCTGGCTCTGCTAACAGAGGCGTTCCCATGCGCCGCCGAGAGAACTGACTCGAGGGCGAATTGCTGACGACGGCCACGATGACCCTTAATTCTAGGGTGAGCGAGCCTGCCGGCTGCCGGGTTGGGCGAGCCACGGTGTCCCGGCCGGGGAAGGGAGCCGGGCGGAGCTGAAGGGCCGTCCGGGGCTGCCTTCCCGGGCCCCCGGCTCCGCGTCGCTTCTCCTGTGGGAGACGGTGGGGGTTGGGGGGTGGGGATGGTTTCCCCGACTTCGGGTCAGGCGCCGCTAATGAGAGGCACATGCCTCCGCTGCTCCCCTTCCCTTTTCCCCTCGCGCTCCGCCTCGCCCTCCCGGCGACGTTTGCATATGTTTTGCCTTCAAAGCCGCTTTTTGCCAACTGTCCGCGGGGAACGGAGAGGGAAGGGTTTGCACCATCCCCTGGGGCCAGAAGGATATCCTTAGAAACTCCAGCCAGGTAGGTGCATGCACAAAGGGGTGCACGGAGACAAAAGACGCTCCCCCGCACCACCACCTCTTGTTTCCGCCCCAGAACCAAAAAAATAGTAATGCTTGCAAAAGACCTGTTCATTCATACAAACGAAGGTTGCGCGGTTGGGTTGCTGTTGTTTTTCCGGACGCCAACCGCCCCTTTTTGGGTCCCCATTTAGGAGGTCGCAAAACTGAGGCGGGATGCTGAACAACGTCGTTCGTTTCAGCGACTCCTACTCTCCTCCACCCTATTGGAATAAATTTTGCAACTTGATTGATAGAAATTAAGTTTAAGGAAAGAAATAATAAGACAGACTTAAAGTTTCCCCGATGGTAAATTCAATTTAAAGAATGAAATGTTGTTTTAAGGAATAGGTAGTGTTTGGTTGAATAAAATCAAGTGCTGGTAGTTGCTTCCATGCCTTCTTTGTTAATTGCCAAAGCAGCAAAGCAGGGCATAGCAGCCTCCCCCCCCTTCTCTCTCTCACACACACACACACACACACACACACACACACACACACACACACTTTTTCAGGGTGATCTCTGCCCTGGCCCCAGGTCACAGCTGGTTAATGCTCTTTACTCTTGTGATGCACTGTGTTCCTGTGAGAAACCATCACCATTCAGGATAGATATTTCAACAATAATCCATGAAAGCATATGCCACAGTATTTGTAAGTCTTAAAGATACTGCAGCAGTCTTGTTTTTGCTGCAACAGAGGAATGCAAGTGTCTCCCTTGGAAGTCCAATCCTTTAGGCACAATGAACTTGCTTATGAAAGGGCTGTAATCATAGTATGGATAAAGGGCATTGGGTGAGGACAAGTAAGGACTTTTATTTATTTCAGGAAGATGTTCATTAAAAATAGGCAAAAACTTCCAAACCTAAAAATACAGTGGACCCTTGACTTACAGACAGCTTGACTTACAGACTTTTTGAGTTACAGACTTCTCTGGCCGCAAAATTTAGGGTTGACTTGCAGACTGAGATTTGACTTACAGACCAGAAAAAAACCAAAATGGAACAAAAACGGCCTGTTACGGGATTAATCGGTTTTCAATGCACTGTAGGTCAATGGAAACTTGACTTACAGACTTTTTGACTTAAGAACCGCCTTCCAATACGGATTAAGTTCTCAAGACAAGCCCCCACTGTAATAGGTAATTTTTTTATTTAGCACCTACATTCCTGAAATTAATAATGCATAGAAGGTGCATACAGGACTAGACAGAGATGTAATGGGGGAGAGGTGATCAAAGTGGATCTCTCAGATGAACAGATCTTTTTCCCCTTTGGCTAGAAGTAATTGCCAGAGGGGGTGTAAATCATGTCTACAGTGCTGAAACAGGAATATCGCCCCCCACTGCTGTTTACCCCATTTAAGGCCACCCTTTTCCCTCAGCTTCTGTCCACAGAGGGCAGGAAAATCAATCCAGATACCTGCCTATTTTCCCCACCCTGAGGTTAATAATGGCAACAGCCAGGATGAAACTGAAACAACTGTGTGATGATAAATAAACTTCACAACCGGGGGGGGGGCAGTCCAAACCTTGTCCCCCACCAACTTGCACAGGTGCTTTTAATGAAAGAAAAGGATATTGAGAAATGTGATCACAGCTCTCCTGTGTTACATCCGGTTTGGCTGATAAATACCTTCTTAGATTTTAGAATAAGGCTTAAAGAAGTTCCTGCCTGTTGTGAGAACAGTGCTTTTTTCATCCATTTCTTCGAAGGTTTACCTGGGAAATGTGGTAGCTCCATCTAGTAATCAGAGAGCCATTTATCACTGTGTAGTAATGACTGCACAAGAGAATAATTATTTACCATCAGCAGACAAAGAAGATAAAGATCAGCCAGATTTCCCCGAACTGGTGCATTTCAGGCATGTGGGAGTATAACTTCTATTATATTCAACCAACTGGCTAGGTGTGGTTGGAGTTGTAATCCTAAATAAAAAAAGGGAGAGGGAAAAATGTAGTTCCAGGATGCAGAAGATATAATGCTCTTTATTTCAGTATAAATTGTTCAACACATTTTGGCCTATCAGCCTTCTTCAGGGGTGTGTTTATCCAATTCTAATCAGTTAATTTTCTGTTTATTAAATCATTGCTGATATGTCCCCCTGGAGAATGAAGATGTGATACTCTGCATTTTCATATCACCTCCATGCAAATCCCATTGAGCTTTTCCCCCTTGTTGTCTTTTGACAGTTGATGATGGAAACCAGATGGCTCCGACTTCCCTTGGCCTTCCTCATACTCCGGCTGTTTGTTATTGGGGCTCCCACTGATGAATCTGGTGCCCAAGACATGACAACTCCCTTGAGTGGCTGCAAGCGTTGCTGTGATTCTGTTGATGCCCCAGGATCCTCTGCAGAGGTTGGTCCAAATGCAAACGGTCCTCACTCCTTGCCGTATAGAATGCCAGAGGTTCGTCCGTATATCAACATCACCATTCTAAAGGGTAAGCACATGGCCATCCTTTGTATCCCTTTGTTGTTTCCTCTTCTGCTTATCTCATTATCTAAACATCAGACGGAATGCTCCCTATAGAGGAGCCATAATTGCCATGTGCATAGCTAGCATTAGGGGTGTGTTTGTGTCTGTGTGTAATACTTACAGCTCTATCTAGGTATGTATGTACATATGTATTTGTTCCTAAACCTGGACTACCTTGTGTGTAGAGAATTAAAATTTCTGAAAATTTCCATTTTTTCCAGGGAAAAAAGGGGAAAACTTTTTTTCCCAGAAAAAATGGAAATTTTCTAAAATTTTACATCTCTATTATTTGTATGTAAATAAATATAGCCATAAATTCCATTTCTTATAAGCAGACCTTGGAAAAATTATTTTGACTACAACTCTCGGGCTGGCTGGGTGATCATGGAAGTTATATTTCAATATAGATAACTTATTCAAATGCCATGAATAAGTTATCTATCTCTGTAGGAGATAATACTGTAGACCAGTGGTTCTTAACCTTGGGTTACTCAGGAGTTTTGGACTGCAACTCCCAGAAGCCTTCATCACCAACTGTGCTGGCTGGGGTTTCTGGGAGTTGCAGTTCAAAAACATCCGAGTAACAAAGGTTAAGAACCACTGCTGTAGACTAACATAGATTTTATCTGTGGTATAGACTTTATCAGCCTGTACTGTAGAGTAGCTTACGCTGCATTATAGATGGGAAGTTGTTAAGTTCCAGATGTGTTGGAGTGCAATTGCCACCATCTCTATCATGCACAAAGAAAGGATGGGGAAGGATGTTGTTTGCCATATTTTGGAGGGCAACAAAAGGTGAAAGTCTGCTGTAGCAGAACCCTCAGGAGTCTTCCATTTGAGTCACAATAGCGTAATTCAGGGCAGAATCAAAAGTTTATCTTTGAAGTTCAATTTAAAACCATTTTCAGAATGGATATGGGAAAGCTGCAGCTTGTAATTTAACCAGGGAAAAATCTGTCTTAGTCATATGAAATGTTTTATTTGGAGGCTGTCTCCTTTCTGTGTGGCTTTCCAAGAATTTGTTTCTCCTCTTGCTGTGCTTGCATTCTGCAAGTGTTTCAGCAAGGGTAGTAGAGCTGCTGTTTCTCCTGGTGCTCTCCACCATCTTTCCCCCTCTTCTGCAATAGCCCATCTCCCTTGCTGGGAGGGAGTTCTCAAACCACCCACAAAAGCTTTAAGAACATTTTGTCAGAACAAAGGCCCATCTGGTCCAGTCCTGTATTTACATAGTGCTCGTCCAGATGTCTGTGGGAAGCCCACAGGCAGCACATCAGTGCAGTAAGACGCTAAGGCTCAAGTTCCCCAACAAATGGTAATAGAGAATGTCTCTTGATACTGGTGGAAAACTGTGGTTGTCATTAACCACTGAAAACCCTTTTCTCCTCGAATTTTTGAATCCCCTTCAAAATTCATCAGAGCTGATGACCCTTTATTCTGAGCCAACAAATTTCATATTGAACTGTTTGTAGAAATACTTCCTTTTATCAGTCCTGATCTCCTCAGCTTCAAGTATCATGTGTGAAAAAACAAAATGTCACCACACCCATGTTCTCCGTGTGCTACCTACTTCACCATACACCTCTGCCATGTGTTCCTTTGCTTGTGTTTTTTTCCCCTGAGGACCAAATTATATAAATAGTGCATCATTCTAGCTGAAATGTACAGCCAGAAGTCCAGTCACAAAACAAAGAAAGCTACTTGGCAACCTACAAGAGTTGTGAAAGGCTCCTGCTCTGACAACCAGACATTTTCAGCAGCTAAGCAATTCCTTCTCCTAAAGGCAGGCTCTCTCTGCAATGTAAAGGTCAGCTGTAACCTTTTTGAAAAATCAAATATTTTAACTTGTATCATAGGAAAGTTGCTACAGCCTCAGAGTTCTCCTGAGATTTTAACAGACTCTTTCCTTTGATTTTTCTTTTCCTTTTAATTCTCTCTACAGGAGACAAAGGAGACCGAGGTGAGCCTGGACTTCCTGGGAAATGGGGCAAAGAGGGACCTCCAGGTGAACGGGGTGCTCAGGGCCCAAAGGGGAGCAAGGGACAAATGGGTGCCCCGGGAGATCCTTGCAAACACCAGTATGCAGCTTTTTCAGTCGGCCGGAAGAAGGCACTCCACAGCAGTGAGGGCTACCAGGCTTTGATCTTTGACACAGTCTTTGTTAATCTCTACAGCCACTTTGACATGTTCAAGGGCAAGTTCTACTGCTACGTGGCCGGCCTTTATTTTTTCAGCCTCAATGTCCACACCTGGAACTTCAAGGAGACCTACATGCATGTCATGCGCAACGACCAGGAGGAAGTCATCCTCTATGCCCAACCCAGCGACCGCAGCATCATGCAGAGCCAGAGTCTGATGCTGGAGCTGCGGGAGAACGATGAGGTTTGGGTACGCCTCTATAAGCGTGAACGCGACAACGCCATCTACAGTGATGATGTGGACATTTACATCACCTTCAGTGGCTACCTCATTAAGCCCAGTCTTGAGTAGCTGCTGTCCTTCCATCTAAAGCACCCTTTCTGCCTCCCCCAAAGCCTTTTAGTGGCTTGTCTGTCAATTTCTGGGAATTATATGCAGGAAGACCCATAAAGATCTGAAGAGGAAGGAGGTGGGTTTGAATCATATGTAGTCATACAGAGAGTCACGTTGTATGACTACAACTCCAAGAATCCACCAACCAGCATGGCTTATGCTGACTGATGGATTGTGGGACTTATAGTAGAACAGAATGAGTTTTCCGAGCTCTGGGTTGGGAAACAGATTTTTCATATATATATATATATATTTGAGATTGTGGAAAGGAGAAAAAGAAAGCAGCTGTTTTAAGTGGAAAGAAATTTCTTATCCCAGCAAAACTTTCATGTATATGGCTTTTCCGAGCTCTGGGTTGATGAATAGATTTTTCATATATCTGTTCATCAATCCAGAGCTCAGAAAAGTCATATATATGAAAGTTTTTCCACTTAAAACAGCTGTTTTTCCCCCTTTTCACAATCTCATATATATATTTGAGATTGTGGAAAGGGGGGGAAATAGCTGTTTTAAGTGGAAAGGAATTTCTTATCCCAGCAAAACGTTCTGCTGGCTTATTGGTAAGTCTACTGACTTTGTTGGATAAGACTGAAAGATTTAGACTGGAATCCTGAAGTTGTTAGCAGAACCTTGTTGCGTGTGGTCTCGGATTTTTCCCTGTAGAAGGATGTGGTGCTTCTTACACAATGACTGAAATTCTGTTGTGCAGCTGCACTCATTGGCCATGAATGCTAATCTTTATTTTAAAATTTCCTATATGCCTTATCAGGTTCCAGTGCTCCCTAGGCATCCCTTTTGACCTTGGGAAACCTTTGAGAGCTTGGGAGGAGGGGAGAAGAACCCTTTAGTGGCCAGCACAGCACCTATATCAGTGGTGCAACCACCACCAACAATTTTCAGGCGTTAAACGCTTCCTCAGCTCAAAATTGATCTCACCCAATATGTTGAAAGTTGCTCAGCTTCCACTTTGGCCCAGTCCAGATGTGTTGGACTGTAGTATCCTTCATGCCCTGCCAGCATGCTGGCACCATACTGGAGATGGCCGGAATTGTAGTTGAGTGCATCTGGAGGGGATGAGGTTATGGACAGTTATAAGTGCTGTTGTTTATACAGAGGAGAAACAACTGATTTGAGTTGTCTTGAGGTGAGTTACCCTGTTTCCCTGAAAATAAGACCTAACCTGAAAATAAGCCCTAGTATGATTTTTCAGAATGCTCGTAATATAAGCCCTACCCAAAAAATAGGCCTTAGTTAAGTGAAACCCCACCCTCCACCATTGTGCAGCATTATGGAGCAGCCAGAAGATGGCATGTCTGTAAAATAAAACACCCCCTGAAAATAAGTCCTAATGCATTTTTGGAGCAAAAATTCATATAAGACCCTGTCTTATTTTCAGGGAAACACGGTATATTTTCATCCAGTTTCCATGCCAAATCTAGGCCAGCAGCCACATATTTTATGGTCTGCTGAGTGCATGACAGCCCTTTCATCTTCATATGGCAAATTAAATCAAGCCTACGCATGGGATGGCAAAGAGCCATCCGTATTAACTAACAGCACCTTAAAATTGTAGTAGCTTATTTACATTAGGGTCTATTGCAGACAAAAACTGTTTTTAAACCTGTGTAGTATTTCTTTATCAGAGTTGTTAAAATGTATTTTACAAATTTCCGTGCTGGTCTTTGTGTCAACAAAATGTTTCAGTGTTGATGCCAGCCATACCTCCTTTCATTATGCTCCCTTCCATTTCATCCCCCTCTCCAGTTCTCCTCCCATCAACGATTAGTCAGAATTCTTTGTTCACTGAGCTTCATTGGTTGATTTTGAGGCTTCCCTATTCCTAGGCTTTCTCTCCACATACATCATAAATATACAGTATTCAGTACTTCCGCAAATCTTGGACTTTTCCTGATCCTTCCCTCTCAAGCATGAATGTTGCTGTTTTGGCTACATAAGAATCAGTGCTTGAATCATGAATTTGTTGTTAGCATGAAGGATATTAATGCTGTGGTGGAAAAGAAATTGAAGCTGAATAATGGGTAGAAGCATTACTAACGAGCTGCTGAGGAACCAGCCATTTAGTTAGGAAGTTATCTGGCATAAAGTAGACACAAATGGGAGCTGTGGATCATTGGGAAGAGAGTGTAGCTCAATGGTAGTGCATGTGTTTTGTAGATCAAAAGGGGTCCAGAGTCAGTTCCCTGTGCCTTCGTCTAATGCAGGGGTGGGCATCTATAGTGGGCCTGGGGGCTAATTCCTGCCCCCCAAGACTTTCTGGTACCATACAAATTGCCCAAAACGGCTACCATAAAGCTAGAAGTCCATTTGAGTTTTGACCAGAAAAAAAAGTTATTTGGGGCAGGATATCAGTGCAGCAGGGTCATGGGACCTATTGAAAAGGTGAATCATTGCTCATGGAGGCATTTGGGAATTAAATTAAAAAGACAAACAAAACCCACCAGAAAAAGGGGGATCAACTTTTGTGGGCCACAAATCCCCACACTTTGCTCTTCTTGAGCTAAAAGCATGTCAGCTAGTGCAGGGGTCCCCAACCCCAAGTCCACGGCCTGCTGCCAATCCATGGCCTTGGCAGATCTCCGGCCCCTCCTGCACGCATTCCACGCACAGCCCACACACACATGCACAGGTGCCCTGCCTACACACATGAGCATGCCCCATGCAAGCGCACAAGCATCCCCCCCACTGATCTGTGTGAGCATGTGCCCCGACCACCCACAAGTGCACCCCGACCACCCACGCATGCATGAATGTGCACCTCACCCACCCGCGAGTGTGTGGGGTACCTTGTCCCCCCAACCAGTCCACTATTCAGAAAGGGTTGGAGACAACTGAGCTAGTGGATCTGGCAAAGATCCCCTGTCTCAAACTTTGAAGAGCTGCTTTTAGTTTACAGAGGACAGTTCTAGGTTAGATCAGAGTTTGGATACTTTATGCAAAGCACTTAGAGCACCCTCTAAAATGGTGTGGAAAGAGCAGTCTTCTGAATGTTGATGAACATCTTGCTTGTATGCAGTATTTCTTAATCTAAGAATGATGAAAATTTGGGATCAACACTATTGCAGGGGGAGGTTGCCCAGCCCTGCTAGAAAATATTAAAAGAATTGGACACATTTCTCTGTACATGAGTCAGCCTTTCCCAATGTGGTATCTTCCTTGTATTTTGGACTGCCATGTCCATTATCCCCATGACCACAAATCAAACACCTTTAGAGGGTTCAGGAAATCAGACTCTCAAGAGAAATTTTAGTGTGCAAATGGTCAACATGCATCAGGGCTTAGATAGACATTGGATATGACTCTGACAGATAGAAAAATAGGGTTCCTCTGGAATTATAGCAATTTCTAGGCACCTTGATAAGGAAAAAAGAGCATGCAGTTCTGTTTTGATCTCATGAGTAACCTTGTGGAGCTGGATGATGGGAAGCAGAATCAGTATGGAGAGTCACACTTCTTTAGACAGGGAAGTCTGGAACAGATTGAACAAGAAACTAAATTGCCTGCCTGCCTGTGAGGCATAGATTTGGGAAACAGCTGTTGTAGATCTGCAAGGCACGTGGCGTCCCTGTGTCTCTCAAGGGAACAGCAGGAATTTCTAGCATTGAATCGCTTCCAGACCTAAGCTTTGAATTCCTCAAGCCTTTGCCTCTTCCAACAACGACAGAGCTCTCTCAGATGCTTCAGCAGAAAAGCTGTATTTAAAGTCAAGAAGACAGATTGATCGTAAGTCCCCACAAAGAACAAGTACTGACTAGCAATTTATGCCCGTTTACAATAGCAAAGGCATAACTAAGTTGCAGTTGTCATTTAGTGGTGAATAATTTTATGGCTATTAGTCTTTGCAAAGACGTAGCCAGGTTAGTCTATGTCAGTATGCTGGTGAAATTAAAGGAAGGAGGAAGCAAAATATTGTGGCACTTGAACAGGCTTGTTTCATTGTGAGCTTTTGTGGATCAACATTTGCTCCTTTTGACACCCGAAGAAGTGGCTTTTGGCCCAGAAAGGTCCACACTGATAAAATTCTGTTAGCCTTTGAAGTGCTACAAAGTCTTAATAACTCTCTGCCCCACCTTTTCCCGTTTTTAATTTTGCCAACCTAGCTATCAGGTTACCCTCTCCAAATGGAGGCGAAGAACTAGCCCAGGGTTCCAGTGCTGTTTTGTGCTGGTGCCTCTTGCTTGGTTGTGGGTGTTGAGGGGACCTGAAGGTGGATTGAAGGAGTATGCACCACAGGCCAGAGGCTTATAGCATTCAGAATGGTTTTAAAAATAACATACAGTGTGGTCATTCTGGTTACTTTTAAAAAACACAGAGCAAAGAATAAAAAATAAATCTTGCACTACCTTTGAGAATAATGTTTATTTTAGCAGGAGCATTCACAGATTATAATCCACTTTGTCAGATGCATGGATTATAAATTATTATTCTGCAAAATTTGTAACTCTGTACTTAACCACTTGAGGCAGGGAGGGACATGTAGAACAGTAAATTCAGTTGTTTATAATGATAATTTTCCCAGGCCTGCTCAAGAGAGCAAAAGTGTATGTCCAGGTGGGCAAAGGGGTTTGCTAGCTTGGTTGGTTGCTTTTTGGTGCTAAATAAAACATTCAAATCTTGGTGCTAAAGCCCCTTTGGTGCTACCCCAGGATGCTGAAGAAATGGTGCTTGCTGGGATGTATATTGGGGTAACAAGGACACAGTGGGCTGTGAAAATGATGGTGCTTTACAGAAAACTAAGTCAACATGAACACTTTTTCTGTTTGTTTTTATATATCTGTTTCTTAAATATTAAAATTTCTTTATTGCACTTTGAAATTGGTGTTCTTCCTTAGGCTCTGTTATCTGCTTGGTGATTATGAGAACATCTTGTAATAAGTGAGGCCCGTTTTTATTTCTGCACAGTAGAAGTAAGTGCCAATATTTTAGTCCCTGAAGGACTGCACATTGCATCATTGCAACAACAAAACCATTTGTAAAATGATGGAAAATAAGCACAAAGTGAAAAATCCAAGGTTCCAATGTTCAACAGGAGTATTAGCTTGACAAGTGGCAGCTGAAATAGAATGTCTGTTCATTTTGCTTTTTCTTGCAATCAGATTTTTTAAAAAAAACACTTTCTGTGTATCCATTCCAGCTATGATGAAATTTAGGGAAATTGGCAAATTCTCTGAGAACAAACATAAATCAAATTTATTCGTGAAGGCTTTCACAGCCGGGATCTAATGGTTGTTGTGGGTTTTTTGGGCTCTTTGGCCATGTTCTGAAGGTTGTTCTTCCTAATGTTTCGCCAGTCTCTGTGGCCGGCATCTTCAGAGGACAGCACTCTGTTGGAGTGCAGGGAGCACAGAGTGCTGTCCTCTGAAGATGCCGGCCACAGAGACTGGCAAAACGTTAGGAAGAACAACCTTCAGAACATGGCCAAAGAGCCCAAAAAACCCACAACAACCAATAAATAAAATTATTCTCCATCTGCACCAGCAAATTCAGTATTTGCAGCCTGGATAGGCCTGTATTCTAACTGCCTGCTGTGCAGTGGGTTCCAGATGGGTATACTCTCAGGGAAGAAAAGTGGCAAGTTGGCAACCCTACTTCAGCACAGAACGGTTGAAAGTATTACACAAATCATGATCACCTTGAAGGACCAAAGACACCTGTAGGGGTCACTAGAGCAGTAGTAGAAAGCAGGTACAGTATGTGCAGAGCATTTGACTGACATATTGGTTTTGCAACTAAAACTAATTTCCTTTAATGAAAGCACAGAGATATCTCCCACTCATAGCACTTCCATATTGGCTAGGAATTTTTTTCCAGTACTTCCTTTGGTATTTGTTTACAGTATTTTGATCTAGTATCGGTAAGAATATACAGTGGAGAAAAACATATCTTAATTTACTAACGCCAGTTTCAGAATTTGTTGGAAAATAGGGACATGAAAATCATTCAGTCCCATTTTTTGCATTTCTCCAAATGTCATTTGTGATCTTGGTTCACATCATGTTCTGAGATGTCATTTATTCTTCTTGCAAGGGAATTTTTGCAGGTCTTTCCCATGTTTTTTAAAGTATTCCTTCTGTACATGTGCTAATACAGGCTTTTTGTTCACATTTTCTCCTTTAACCAAAGCAAATTCTACGAATTTCTCCAACTGAAGGCATTTTTAAGGCATTCACAGCTTTAAAAGATAGCTATGCTTTTGTATTTCCCTG